CTGAGTAAAGAGACCTCCGTCTGATGTGAAAGGTGCTCCACCAAATGCAAGCATTATTATTTTTAGCTCCTGTTAACCTGCAACTTGCAAGTAAACCGGTAGACAAGCTTCAGGAAGTTTGCCAGACAGTACTCTCAATGGCAAGCTATGTGGTTTTAGCTGGTCAGACTCCAGCGGTTGCCCCAACGTACACTCTGGGGTCTCCAAGCCTTGGCTCTTGTAATCCTACACCTAATGCTTTCCGGAATTAAGTAAGCAGAGTACGTCTCTCCGGAGAGAGAGAGTGCACATTCCATTCCAGGCACGGAGATATTTACCTATGTTAGTGACATACATATATGGAACTCTTATCTGGTTTGGATACTCTTAAAGCATGGTGATGAGTTTCTGCTGATGTCAGACACTAGGCTGATCAAACAAAATTGTTAAATTGTGTTTAAACATTATTTCGGGCTTCTGGCCTTTCATACAACAACAACAAGATTACATTTGTATAGCACCTTTCACGTCAGGAGGACATCCCAAGGCGCTGGACAGACTACAGCGTTTCAGACCCGAGCTGGGGTTGGGGGGTAAGGGAGGGGAGGGGAAGGGGGTGGCGATGGCATGGTCGAAGAGGAAGGGTATTGAGGCGGGACTTGAAGGAGGCTAAGGAGGGGGCGAGGCGGAGTGACTGGGGGATGGAATTCCAGAGGTTGGGGCAGAGTGGCTGAAGGCTCTCCCGCCAATGGTGGGGGTGGGTCGGTCGGGACGTGGAGCAGACCAGAGCCGGCTGAGCAGAGGGAGCGGGTGGGTTGGTAGGGGTTTAGGAGGTCACAGAGGTAGGGTGGGGCGAGGCCATGGAGGGCTTTGTAGGTGAGGACCAGGATCTTGAACTGGATCCTCTGAAGGATAGGGAGCCAGTGGAATCGGGTGAGAGTGGGAGAGATGGGGTCACGGAGTTTGGTGCGGGAGAGGACACGGGCTGCAGAGTTCTGGATTATCTGCAGCCTGAGGAGGGAGGAGTTGGGAAGGCCGACAAGCAGAGCGTTTGCATCATCGAGCCTGGAGGTGATGAAGGCATGAACAACAGTTTCAGCGGCCTGAGGGGTGAGGTAGTGGCGGAGTCGGGCGATGTCACAAACTCAATAAAGAGGGTTTTTTATTGCAGCTGAGTTTGTCCTGTGTCTTACTGCCTAATCTAGTGTTTATCTTTGCTTTCATTTCAATCCCCACCCCTGCGCCCCACCAAGAAAAACTCAAGGCTGTTTATAGTTTAATAAAAAGCTAAACTCACCTACTCAGAGCAGTACCCTGGCAAGTTCTCTATCACCATCTCTATTAATAGTTCTGCACAGAGTGCTTTGTGAAGAGAGAACAGAGAAGACGCATTGTAAAAGGCTTGTGAACGTTCTGTACTAAAGGGGTTGAAGTGAACTGAACTGACTAATGGCATCAATATCCCTGTGGATCAAGCAGTGCCTCCACTTACTCCAGTGAAGGACATGAGTCTCGGAGGTCAATACATTGCATTGTTACGTAACAGATTTGGAATGTAATATTTTGATAGTGGATGGTTCTGTGGAGGGTGATGGAGGGTTACTAAAAACAGGTAGCGCTAATTATTGCCAATAATGCCTCATTCTCTCACCCAGGAGAGGGACAGTGCAGGCAACAACTTTATATCGCATTTATATAGCACCCCTCATGCCAGGTAGCTTTACGCAAGGTAGCTTCCCAGAGGCAGAGGGATGCTACCTTGAGCTACCTTGTGGAATCTGCACTTCCGTTTGCTTTTTTCCTGCAAATAAAGTGAAATGTTACAATAACAACAAATCAATTGCATTTGTAGAGCACCTTTCACGTCAGGACGACGTCCAATATATGCAAATATACAGCTAACTACAAATGCTGAGAGATCCTGATCTCACAACCAGGTATTTGCACAGAGAAGTGCACCACTTAAAAATGATTGTTAATTTGTTTTATTGGCTCGGGCAGATTTATTTTTGCGTATATGAGTGGCGCTACTGTGTGCATTGCAAGTTGACGATTTGTAGCTGTGGAGGGGGTCGGGGGGTGTTGTGTTACAAATTGATATTTCGAGGAGGTGGGGTGGGGGAGTTGCGCATGAGAACATAAGAAATGGTCGACAAAAAAAACTTCCATCTAGTTCGCCTTCCACCTTCCTGGCAGTCACTTACACGTATTTACTCACTGCCACAGAGCATTGTTGTGAGAGCTTCAATTTATTGTCAAATCAGAACCTCCCCCCCCCCACCCCGGTCCTTTTCATCGTCTATACATATTATTTTCCTACCTTTCAAATAATAGTCCCTTCCTGGATTTTTTGCCCCATTAAATTTCTCCACATTGAATTTCATTTGCCACCGATCTGCTCAATTCCCAAGTAATAATAATAATAAAAGTATTTTGAAGTCCTCCTGTAACCTGTCTTGGGAGGGTGGAATTGTGTGGCACATTGATGTGTCTGGTGGGATGGGGTGGGGAGGGGGTTGCATGGGTCGTGGGAGGTGCACTGGTGGGGGGGTTGCACGGGTGGGGGGAGGAGTTGCACAGGCGAGGGGTTGTACGGGTGACGGGGGGTTTGCATGTCGACGATATCTGATGGGGGTGTTGCACGGGTGGGGGGTTGCATGGGTGGTGGGAGACTGCACGGGTGGCGGGGAGGGGTTGCATGTCGACGATATCTGATGGGGGTGTTGCACGGGTGGGGGGTTGCATGGGCGGTGGGGGATTGCACGGGTGGCGGGGAGGGGTTGCATGTTGACGGTATCTGATGGGGGGGTTGCACGGGTGGGGGGGGGTTTGCATAGGTGGTGGGGGGTTGCGCGGGTGGCGGGGGGGTTGCATGTTGACGGTGTCTGATGGGGGTTGCACAGGTGGGGGGCGGGTTTGCATGGGTGGTGGGGGTTGCACGGGTGGCGGGGAGGGGTTGCACGGGTGGCGGGGAGGGGTTGCATGTTGACGGTATCTGATGGGGTGTTGCACGGGTGGGGGGAGGGGGGGGGTTGCATGTCGACGGTATCTGATGGGGGGGGGTTGCAAGTTGATATTACGTGATGGGCTGCATTGCACGTTGACGTTACGTGCCTGTGGGGGGGGAGGGGCTGCACGTGCCTGACTGGGGGAGGGGCGGGGCGGTGGTGCGTGTCACGTCATACGTTGCACGTCGACATGTCGACGCGGTTGTCGTAGGGACGGGAGCGAAGCGGCGCCGCTGCTCTCACACATACACACACACACACCAGCGATGCTGCAGCCGCTCGGAGGGCTCTGGGCGACGCCGCCGCCGCTCCTCCCGCTCCTCCTCCCCATGGCTCTGCTCCTCGACCTGAACTGAACCTGGCAACGGCTGCGGTGGGTGACGATGGCGGAGAGGTCGGTTTCCTTTTTTTTTTGCTTTCTCTCTTTTTTTAAAAAAAAATACCCCTTTATTTCTATGTAAATTCTATTTTGCGGGGTGTGTGGGGGGTCCCGCGCGAGAGAGAGAGAGAGAGAGAGAGGGAGAAAAAAAAACGGGTTTATTTTAAACCTTTCCCACACGGGGTGGGTGGGGAGAGAGAGAGTAACGGTTGGGACCGCTCAACAGCCAACCGTTTAACTGCCGCGTGCGTGTGGATAACGAGGAGCCGTTGGAGGGGGGAGGGGGGAGAGTGAGGGACAAGGTCAGCGGCTCGTTGGTCGGAGCCCGAGCCCCGGTGGAGGAGTGGGTGGTGGGTGAGTCGGTGTCTCGCTGCCAAATAGTGAGCTGCTCGGCCCCACCGGGCCGGGGGGCCCAATGCGCAGGCGCCAGCCGGCAGTTGCCATATAGTGAGCCAACCGCCGTCCGCCCCGGCGAGCGCACTGGGCATGCGCGGGCGGAGCATAGCCCCCCCCCCCCCCCGCTGCTAACAGGTGCATGTGCGCGCGCACGCGCTCCCGCCTCTGCCTGCGCTGCGCTGCGATTACCGGCGGTGACAGTCAGTCCCTCACGAACCCCTCACAGATGGGTCTCACAGTTACTACACACACACACACAGAGGGAGGGAGAAGGCTGTGCGAGTTTATGGCGGACTGGCACTTTCTCATTTGGCCCAGTAGTCGTTTCAGTGCCCACTGTGGGGGTGGTGTTGGATCCCCCCCCCCCACCCCTCCTATTTGTGTGAGGTCCAGTTTTGGGTGCAGATGTTTTTTTTTGTTCAGAAACAAACAAACCGGTAATGTTGTTGTTCGTGTGCGCGTGTTTTTATTTTATTTTTTATTAACCCCCCAAAAAAATTACACATAAAGCTCTCGGTTCAGTTAAGGCAAATTGGCCTCTCTCTCTCTCTCTCTCTCTCACTCTCTCTTTGTAATCTGCCCTATTGGAAGAAAGTCTTTCTTCGGTATTGTTTTTATTTTTAAAAAAAAAGGATTAGTGCTGGAGATTTCCATGGGATTTAGTTTTCATTTTGGCATAGATTTACTTTGTTGTTTTTTTTAAAAAAAATCCCAACAAGTCTGCTACTGAACAAACATATCCTGATCAAACAGCACTGTGCAAAGGTGACCGTTTCCACAATATATTGGGACATCCTAGAGATGTTTAAAAGGGGGTATCACTTCAATATATAGTTGACATGAAGTTATTTGATGTTCACAAAGTATTTTTAAATGGATTGTCATTGTTGGTGCTTATCTGTAATTCAATATGAAGATCCCTTTCCCGCTTGCCAATATGTCTGTTGTGAATGGCTTTGTGTGGTCAAACATTGATTCGGCTAATCTGACCCAAAGAGGGTTGAAAGAGCATTGTTATAACGACAATTAATTCCAAGGCTGGCTATTGAACTTCAAACCTAGCTGGCTGTTACATTTTTCATGGATTGAGCAATTGTCTATCTAGTAATGAAAAGAATTTGAAAGTCGGCAGAATATATGTACTCGATTCATGACACAGTGTATTTTTATGTATGTGTTTAACAAGCTCACTCTTTTATGCGTGGTTTCTGACTCTCGTGTCTTGCTTTGCTCCTGTGTCATGCCCAGTCATTGGTGATGGCTGTTCCAGGCATAATTACTGCAGCTCGTGGATTTTAACATTTTTATTGTCAAGAATTGGAATTGCATGTTGAGGGTTGTATGCCGGATCAATTTCTTTATTATTATTTGGTGCCAATGTTAATTGTTTTTTCTTTGGTCAGTCGGGTGTTTGACACGTGCGGAAACCTATCACCATGCTTACGAGTATCCAAACCAAACAACACATTACATTTGTATAGTGCCTTTCACGTCAGGAGGACGTCCCAAGGCGCTGAGAATTAAGAGAATTAAGAATTCCCTGCATCCCACCTACACATGGAAATCCCAGAGATAGATTGTTGGAATGGAATGTGCACTCTCTCCCTGGAGGGATGCATCCTGCTTACCTAATTCCGGAAAGTATTAGGTGCAGGTTGGCAAGTACCACCCTATCCGTTAGGGCTGATTAAGCAGTAATTATAATAATACTTACATTTGGTATAGCGCTTTTCACATTGGGAGGATGTCCCAAAGCACTTCACAGGGTGTACTGTAAATCACAATGACTATATTTTGTAGGGAAAATCTTGTCATCCTCCACACTGTCCCAAAATCTGCCTCAACCATAGTCTTAAGAGAACACCAAATGTTTCACCGGTATGAATGATTCCGTTACCACATGTACATGTGGACTTAACTTGTGGTATTGCTGTGCGGTGACTCACCTCTCCTCTTATCAATGGAGTGCTGCCAAATTCCACTTCATTGGTACCTTAACATCAATGTGCGTTTTGATTTTATTATTTATCAGCATAACTCTGAGGGTGGGAAAGCTAGGATTACAGCATTGTGGAAATCACAGCCAGAATGAGGCATTTAACCCTTGGAGCCAATGTTGCTGTCAGCTCCTTCACTGTGGCTGTATATCCTAATGCTATTTTCCTGTTCTTTCCCCAGACCTTTTACAGTCTTCCCCTTTTATAGACTTCATAAAATAAAAGTTTCCTTTTAATTACAACTCCTTTTAAACCATCTCCAACCAACCATCTACAGTGGAGTCTTGTAGCGTATTGGTTAGAGCACTCGCCTCACAAGTGAGAGACCTGAATTTGTTTCCCAGGTGGGGCGAAAGCTTAGGCAAGTTTCCTTACTCCACACTCTTCCTTTTACCTGGCAGTAAGTAGGAACCCGGTTGTTAGTCGATTGGTGGATCGCTTTTCTGGGGATAATAATCCCTTCAAAAAAATAATAATTCAATCCATGGCTGTTTGTGGGACACTGCTGTGCACAATTCGTTACAGCGTTTCGTCCATAAAATATGCACTTCATTCACTTTACAGTATATTCTGTGAAGCGCTTTGAGACATCATGAAGACGGTATAAGGCGCTATATCAAATGCAAGGATTATTATTATCTGTGACAATGCACTTGATGCTGCTTTGTTACCATCATCAATCTATTTGAAGTGATTTGCTTTGTTTGTTTCAGTGGCATCAGTGTCTTGATCAGGATATGTTCTATGGTGCTCATGCTGGAGAGTTAATAATGGTGGCTGCATTACTGCAGATTTATTGAATAAAGAGTTTGCAGTGGATTACTGTCGTAATTCTGATTATGGAGCAGTGCTTCTGTTTAACAGGAAAAGGTGGTATATATTACTGCTAGACTGTTTGTTTTGAGATGTTATTTCCTAATTTTTCACAATATTTGTGTTATAAGCAAGTAAAAGTGTCAGAAACTGAATAATTAGCTTTCAACATGTGTATCTTTTGTTCGATTTGCCCTCTGCAAATTTCTCAAAGCAGGAGTTGATAGAGGAGAAATATTATCTGTCCTGACACTGGCTCCCATTGACAAATGATAGGAGCTTTTACAGGGCAGGAAAAATGTATCTTTCCAGGGGGCACGGTGACATTTGTGTTTGCACTCCCACTGTTTCTAGTAAAAGAATCAAGGATTTCATTTGCTGCTTTTCTCTGAAAAATTGCTTTTCCTTCTTAAAAAAATTGGATATTTATATTAAGAAATCTCTGTACCAAACCTCAGGTTACTATCTTAGTACCTGTCAGTGGATTGTGGTGAATGCTGTCTGTATCTTTCATCTGTCTTCTCAAAATTACATGTGCATTGCTGAACTGTGCATTGCACCTCCCTGGGAATGCGGTGTAAAGCAGCCAATATCAATCCTGTTGCACTATGAATATCTCCCACTTTAATACTTGCTGTTCTTTGTACTGAAGACTTTGTGTTCTTTTTTGTTTAAATTGTTAATTTCTGTGATCGTCAAAGTGAGGGATGGTAGTACGGTTTGGAGAATGGAACACCTTCCCCTTTCATGTCTGCTCAAATGAAAAAGTGTCAGCATCGAGCAATTGCCGGTCAGGTGTGGTACAGCTACCTGTAGGATAAAGATCCCTCTACTTTCCCAAATGATGTAAATCAACTCCAAACTTCGAAGAACCCTTTGTGCTGTAGTAGAGTGATATTTCCTGCACCAACTGTTGTTGCAGTTTCTCAGTGTGAGATGATCAAGTGATGGGCAATTTTGAGTCTTTTTGGTCTGGGCTCCTGTCCACAAGGCAATAAAATCTTAAGAGGTTGCCACTGAACTGATCAGTTGTAGAACCATTAACTGCCAACAGAATGGCAGGACGGGGTGGTGGGGGAGAAGGAAGAACTGTCATTTTTAGAATGCTTTATAGCAAGTTATCTAAAAGTGGTTTGCAATAGTCACTGTCACTTGCAACAGGATAACCTGTCCTACTAGGTGAATGACCAATTAATATGGAGAATTGTTGGCTAAGACATCAGGAGAAACTCTCTCCAAATAATTTTGTACGGTCTTTAGCATCCATCTGAAATCAGGCAGATATGCCTTTGGCTTAATGTCTCATCTGAAGGATAGTGCTGACAAGATAGTACTGCACTAGAAAACCAGCCAGAATATGAGCTCAAATTCCGTGATGATAAAAATCTTCAAACCCAGAGGCAAGAGCGCTACCAATTGTGCCGTGCTGACATTTGTGGGGTGGCTTTCAGCCCATTGGACTGAGCTAAGCTCCAGAGATGAAAGGTCAGTGCACAAACTTAACTGTAGCACCATTTACCTGCAAAAATTCTCTTTATAGTAGTTTTAGGAGTGATGTTGACCCCTTAAATGTAAAGCACCTGATGTATAATAATCCTTGAATTTGATATATTGCCCTTTTACGTCCGATAGATGGCTCAAAGAACTTCATAGGATTTACTGTAAGGGTTTGTGTATTTTGTGGCTGAACGTGGCAGCCAATTTGCGCACAGCAATATCCCACAATCAGCCATGGAGTGAGTGTCCAGTTTTATATTGGGGTTTGGTGACTTTTCAAATCGTGGCATAGGATCTTTAATGTCCAGCTTG